TCTGTTTTTGTGCCAGTACCAATATCCCTGATGAACATGGATTCCAAAATCCTCAACAAAATCCTAGCTAATAAGATCCAACAATACATCAAAAGGATTATCCACCACAACCAAGTGGGATTTATCCCTGGGATGCAACAGTGGTTCAACATTTGCAAATCAATCAATGTGATAGAACACATTAATAAGAGGAGAGAGAGGAGACATATGGTCCTCTCAAATGATGCAGAAAAAGCATTTGACAAAATACAGCATCCTTTCCTGATTAAAACTCTCCAGAGTATAGGGATAGAGGGAACATTCCTCAAGTTCATAAAATCCATCTATGAAAAACCCACAGCAAATATCATCCTCAATGGGGAAAAGCTGAGAGCCTTTCCCTTAAGATCAGGAACACTTCAAGGATGCCCACTCTCACCACTATTGTTCAACATAGTACTAGAAATCCTAGCAACAGCAATCAGACAACAAAAAGAAATAAATGGTATTCAAATTGGCAAAGAAGAAGTCAAACTCTCTCTTTTCCCAGATGACATGATACTTTATGTGGAAAACCCTAAAGACTCCACCCCCAAATTACTAGAACTCATGCAGCAATTCAGTAATTTGGCAGGATACAAAATCAAAGCACAGAAATCAGTTGCTTTCTTATACACTAACAATGCCACTATAGAAAGAGAAATTAGAGAAACGATTCCATTTACAATAGCACCAAAAAACCACAAGATACCTCGGAATAAACCTAACCAAAGAGGTAAAGGATCTATACTCTAGGAACTACAGAACATTCATGAAAGAAATTGAAGATGACACAAAAAGATGGAAAAACATTCCATGCTCATGGATCGGAAGAATAAACATTGTTAAAATGTCTATGCTACCCAGAGCAATCTATACCATCCTGATCAAAATTCCAATGACATTTTTCAAAGTGCTGGAACAAACAATCCTAAAATTTGTATGGAATCAGAAAAGACCCTGAATCGCCAAGGAAATGTTGAAAAAGAAAAACAAGCTGGGGGCATCACATTGCCCGATTTCAAGCTATATTACAAAGCAGTGATCTCCAAAAGGGTTTTTGTTACAAAAGTCAGAGCAGTTGGGATCCTCAACCCCACTCCCACCCTCACACCATCCTTAAGGGGTAGGGAAAAATAAAGGTCCGTCAAAGTCAAACTCTCCATTTAGAGTTGGCTTTAATTTGTTCTCCAGAGCCCAGAATTTAACAGCTGGAGCCGAAGGTGAGGCACCACCACAGTGAATGAGGTGAGGCTGACCCGCCTTGCCTGCGGTCAACAGGCTCAGAGCTGGGCAACAGAAAGCCAGAGAATCCACCCACCGACGTGTTCCCCATAGGCCCAGGAGACACCCCTTTGCTAAAGCAATAGGGGAATGTGCCTTGGGAAGAGCCAGGCTTGAAAGTATGACAGTGTCCCCAGGTTTTGTGGCGCAGTGTCTTACCTGGCGGGGGGCCCTTCAGACCTCCAGACTCAATTGGAATAGGGTGTGGCTCAGCCATCAAGGGTTTTTAAAAGTTCCCCCAGGTGATTCTAATCTGGGGTAAAGTTTGGGAACTACTGTGGTAGGGGCTATCTGTCCACAGCTGGTAATCATTTTGCAGTGAATCAGCGTATCAAATCAATACGTTGCATAGCTTAAACTTACAGTGTTGTCAATTATATCCCAATAAAGCCGCGAGGGACAGGATAGAAAAACTCTGGGAGACCACCACTAATGTGGAGACTCACGGCACCAAGTGGCTGGTATTTCTATTACCCAGGATGGACACTTGAGAAGGGGAGAATTTTGGAGAACGTTCTTCTGACAACAAACAAATGCTTATTTGAGTTCACAGGGAATCCAGAGAAGAGTTTTGTGGAGAAAGCAGATTGAACCTACAACAGCAGCAGCATTAGACAGTGGTCAGTAAATACAGGTTGTGTAAAATAAGGACCCACGCACAATTATTGCTGTGGGACAGCCCAGTGGAGGCTGGGCACAGGTGTGCTGAGGTGGAGGCAGCGTCTTCACCACGAGCGTTAGGACAGGTGGGAGGGGCAGTGCATACAGGTGCAGAAAGCAGCTCCTCCACATCCATCCTGGGTCTGGCCATTCCGAACCCAGGGCAGCCAATGGGGAGCAACAACGTCACTGGCCCAGGATTCCCCAAAGCCCATCACCGTGTGGTTGCCCGTGGGCTGGGGAGCAGGCTCTGGTTTGGTAGGCGAGGAGGCGAGTCAGTGAGTATTTTATCCTGTCTTGTTCTTAGTGCCTTCTCCCTCTCCTTTCTTTCTCCGTTTACTGATTAGGACCTATTCCTTGAGCTCTGCTCTGTGCCTCCACATGCCCCATGTGTTTTTCACATTCGCTTGGGGTACGGTCCTCAATCCTTCCCAGCCTCTGGGTCTAAAATAAAGACTCTTGACTCCCAGAAACAAACTGAGGGTTGCGGAAAGGGAGGTGGGTGGAGGGATGGGGCAGCCAGGTGATGGGCATTAAGGAGGGCGCGTGATGTGATGAGCACTGGGTTTTATACGCAACTAATGAATCATTGAACACTACATAAGGAAGAAAACAAAAAAAATAAAAATAAAATAAAGGACAGAGTCGCGGATGCTGTGGCTCGGAGTCCAAGATGAGCTGACGTCTGGACTTGTGGGAGATCGGGGGTGTCACTGTGTTAAGTGTGCTAATTATATGTTAGTTACGGCTGACGGTTATTGAAGTGCTATTCAGTCCTGAGGGTGTTCTTTGTCAAATGAGGAAACTGAGCCACAGATGAATTAAATGGCTTTGCGTGGGGTAGCAAGGGGTGAATCCATGTTCAGAACGGCGTGTGACTGATCTCCAGCCGTGTAGTCTTGACTGCTTCTATGGGATCATTCAAGGTCCCCATGCAGAGAGCTGTTGCAGGTAGAGGTTATAAAGGACAGAGACAAAGGGAGAGCTTTGGTTAGTCTGTTATTTCCAGAAAATAACATTAACCACCACTCTTAGTTTACATTCTTCCAACCTACAATCCTGCCTCTATGGGAATAATGTCCTTACCTTCTCCCCAGTCCCTCTTCAGTTTTACAGGGGAAGGCGTCCATCTGCCTAGGACTGCTAGTCCTTCCACTTGGGCTCTCCTCCTCTCTACTCTGTTGGGTTTCATTATCAGCTCCCTCTCTGGGATGCTTTGGAAGAGGTGGAGCATTCTAATTAGGTATGCGTTAAAATGCTTTTTCCTAAAGCAGAGCGAGCTGTTCAACTTCACAGAACCTCGGCTTTCAACTCTGGAAAGTGAAGACAATAATGCTCTTTGTATATTGACATTACTTACGGGAAGTTCAAATGAGTTGCTATAAGTTGTCTAAGAAGGGGTTTAGGAAAGAGTTAAGTACTCATTTAGTTTTTTTATTTACTGCTTGTACCTTTACTTACTCTTCACTCTGAGCATATAAACTTTGTCACTCATCTCATCCAAAAAAAATAACCTTCCCAAGATCACTGAGATTTTTGTGGCTTCTTACAGCCATGGTTCTCTTCTTGCTCCTCTGATCCCTTCAGTGATGGCTTTGCACGGTAAAGCAAACATTTAATTCAAATCATGTCTATATCAGTGTTCAGGTGTGGCAATCTGAAATTCATTCTCTTTTAAATGAGCTTCCCATATTCATTTAGTCACTTAACCAAAGAGTTGGGAGATTGGGGGTGGGGGGGTATTTTGTTTTCAATCTCCATGTATCCAAGTTGTTTTATGTTGGAGGGGAAAAAAATTAGGAAATTTTAGTTTAAAATTTTAATTGCTCTGTGGTTAGGATGTAATCTTTTTAACTTGTTAGAAATAAGTATTTTCCCTTTTTCCACCAATATGGTCAGTGTTCTTCATAAATATATAGGAATGTGCAGAAAAGTTGATGTTCTTGAAAGGGCTCTGAGTAATCAGCACATAAACTTCTCCCCATCGTTAGTAATGTTTACCTGGCTCCCTCTCCCTAGTGTTTTTGTTTTTTTGGGGGGGGGTCTCTCATAGATGAGTAATGGTAAGAATTGTGTTAGTAAAATACATTTCTAGTTGCTTCTAAAATGATTTTTAATGGTAGTATTATTTTGAAAAGGCAAACCATATGAGAAGGCATAAAGTGAAAAGTGTTCTGTTTGCAGAAATTCTCTGCCTTTAGTACGCAAACTTCTTGGTCACACCACTTCGAAGAATGAAGAGGTAGACCAGAGGAAGAGTGGTAGACAGCAAAGCAAAGTTTATTGAGTAATATCACAAAGCTCCCGGAGAGGGAAGGGGCCTAAGAGGGTTGCCCTTGGAGTTTCTAAGTTTAGGACTTTTTATGAGCTCTTTTGCAGAGCTGTCTTAAGCAATCAGAGTGTACTGAGTCATGCCAATCAGGGCTCTGGTCACGTATCTGTCTACCTATTAGGTTAATGTCTACATGCCGATGGTCTTTTTTGGCTGACCTCTGAGGGGCTTATGTCTTAACTGCCCCTTGCCCACGATAGTGACAAATGTTTTATGGTTAATTGTCTTATTTTAGGATGTTTTGCAGAATCATTTCTGTAAAGGCTGCGAAGCAGAATGTCAGTGTCGTCCTGTCTAAGCTGCAAAACAGGATGTCAGGGTTGTTTTATCTTAGCTGTCCTGACCCCATATTTTCTTTTTGGGGATCCTGGCCCTGACTGCCTATCTGTCCAACTAACTCCTAACATTTGCCTTGGCCCAGTTAGTTCATCCTCCCCCACTCAACCCACTTTCTGCTCCTGGGGGGGAAAACAAGTTGCCATCTACTTGACCCCTTAAAGTGTTTTATTATATATTATAGGATATTATAGGATATCCCTTTGATTGCTTTCTTTTCCACCACAAAGTAATGGTTGGGGAAGACCAGAGCAGCCTAAAAATGCCCAACCAATATTGGTTGTCACTGTTTATAGGGGCCATATAATGGTGGAAGAGGAGATTTGCCAGGTTTAAGAATTCTTCCTGGAGCATTCTTAATAAGTACAAAATGTTTGTCATCACAGACAAGCCTTCCAGAGAACTTGGAGAAGAAATGCATGGCACAGCTCATGGATGTGCACCTATAGAACAAGCTGATTTAGGGGGTCGGGGGTATGGAATCAGTTCTGATTGCTAATGATGTTGAGCGTCTTATCATGTGTTCATCTGCCATTTCTGTATCTTTGGAGAAATGTCTATTCAGATCATTTGCCCACTTTTAATTAGATTTTTTTTATTATAAAGGGTTTTCTACTTTTTAGATACAAGACCCTTATCAGATAAGACTTTCAAATATTTATCCATTTTTACACCAAAACTCTATGTTTATGTAACTTCATGTTATGTTAACAGACACAAAAGGAATCAACTGATCTAAAAACTGTGTGATTCAGGCACCTGGCTGTCATGCAACTCTTAATCTCAGGGTTGTGTGTTTAAGCCCCATGTTGGGTGTAGAGCCTACTTTAAATAAATAGAGTGACTAATTTTCCGTAAATGGTGGTAACTTATTTGCCAGTTTCCATGAGTATAACATATTAGCCAAGAGCATCACTGACAAGTGTTTTGGGTTTTTGTTGTTGTTGTTGTTGTTATATTAGTTTCAGGTGGACAATATAGTGATTCAATACTTCCATACATCACCCAGTGCTCATCAGGACAAGTGCACTCCTTCATCCCCATCACCTGTTTCCCCCATGTCCCCACCTACCTCCCCTCTACTGACCATCAGTTCCCTACAGTTGAGAGTCTGTTGCATGGTTTGTCTCTCTCTCTCTCTCTCTCTCTTTCCTTTTCATTGGCTCATTTGTTTTGTTTGTTAAATTCCACATATAACTGAAATCATATGGTACTTGTTTTTCTCAGTCTGACTTATTTCACTTAGCATAATACCCTTCAGGCCTATCCATGTTATTGTAAATTGCAAGATTTTATTCTTTTTTATGGCTGAATAATATTCCACTGTGTATATACCACATCTTTTTTAATGATTCTCAATAGGTGGACAGTTGGGTTGTTTCCATAATTTAGCTATTGTAAATAATGTTGCAATAAATGTAGCAGTGCACATCTACCTTCCAATTAGTGTTTTTGTATTCTTTAAGTGTTTTTTATTCTGACTCTATGCCAGGTGCTGTTTCGGGAACTAGGGATAGGGCAGCAAAACATCCCAGAGTTTATATTCTCATAACAAGATAAATAGATATAATGTCAAGTAATTTTAAGTCTATGAAGAATTGTTACCCATGAATTGGGCTTCTCTGTGTATTTCACAAAAGGAACAGAAAATGTTGTTTCTAGTGAGTTGACGAGGTTGGTTGTATGAACTTGAGAATTTGATGCAAGATTCTCTTTTGAATCTTATTACTCTTTCACAGGTACCATTTCTCCATATTAAAGAATCCACTTTTCCATCAAAATCTGAGCTCTTAGCCTTGCACTAAGATGACAGAAGCCAAATTACCCTCCTTTTCCAACTATGGACTGCAATGGTGTTTCAAGCAGCTAAGCAAGGAAGAGTTTCAGACATTTAAGGAATTGCTCATGGAAAAAGCTTCAGAGTTGGCAATGTGCTCTTTTCCATGGGTTGAAGTGAACAATGCCAATGTGGAACATCTAGCCTCCCTCTTGCATGAGCATTATAAAGAATCTCTTGCCTGGAAAATATCCATTCACATCTTTGAAAAGATGAACCTGTCCACACTCTCTGAGAAGGCAAGGAAAGAGATGAAAAGTGAGTAAGATTTGGGGCAAATCTGGGGGTGGAAGAGAAAGGAGATTACCTCAAGCTTCCATGGAAATGGAGAGGGATCCTTGGTCACTAACTGGGTCCACCTCCATGGCGTGAGTCTGAACTGTGAGAAGTCACTCATTAGTCATCCTGTCTGGCTAGAAATTAGAGCAGTCTCCAGCCTGTGAAAAAAGAAAAGAAATGAGTAGACAGATGCTCTACCCAGACAGAATTTGGTTGAAGTTTGTAGACAGGATTTGGAGTCTTAAGTGCTAAGCTTGAGCTCTGGACCTTCCACTTGTTCTATGTGTGACTTTGGGCAAATCCCCTTGGGTTCTACATCTTGGAACAGTAACTTTGATGCTGTTGCAAAGACTCAATAACCTAATGTATATGAAGTTGTTAACAAATCTTCATTCATTTATTGAGAACACTATGGTGGTTGTACAGTGGGTGTCTCCCATATTTCTTGCCCCAAGCTAAAGGACTAAAGTTCAAGGAACTCTTCTAAGGACTGATCTTGTCAGACCGTTGGTGTCCATATTATAGCAACGTATTTGGATCAAACTGTGTGATTAGCTTAGGGTATTTAGGAGAAAGGTAGTAGAAAAAATAGCCCTCCCTTATCAGGAGGAATTCTTCTCTTCAATTGTGGACAGAAAACTTAGAGTCCAGGGTGGCTCAGTCGGTTAAGCATCTGCCTTCAGCATGGGTCATGATCCCAGGGTCCTGGGATCGAGTCCCACATTGGGCCCCCTGCTTGGCGGGGATTCTGCTTCTTCCTCTACCCTTCCCCTGCTCGTGTGTGCGCACTCGCTCTCTCTCTCAAATAAATAAATAAAATCTTTTAAAAAAGGAAAGGAAGAAAGAAAGAGAACTTAGAGTCCCAAGGGCAAGCAGTCAGATTGGCCCTAAAGACTATAGGTATGCCATCCCTAGATGTAACTCGACATCTACAGCTGCAAAGGACTTTAAGAGAAGCCATCCCTTCTGAGCTTCAAAAAAGCCCTGTGTGGAAAATATGTTGACTGGAGAAAGAGTGGTCAGTGTTAGAACTCATGAGTTGGACACCTCTATTTGGATAATTCACAGGCCTCTAGTGAGTAGTTAACTAACTAGTTGAAGTTCAAGACAGGTGCTGAGGATGACTCTTGAAGATAAACTCTTGATAACCATAATATACTGCCTCATCATGTGAATAACCCAAGGCCATACAGCAAAATGGGACTGGAATTTACGAGTTCAAACTCTGAGCACTCTTTGTGACCAGTCTCTGCTGCTTCACTGTGCTGGTGGCACTGGAGGATCTGACTCCATTGTCTCCATTACCAGCTAGTCATGGAACAAACTGTGAGATCCTGAGGTTTGTCTTGTTTCCCCTCAGTAATGTGGGTGGGGGATGCTCTCACCCCTAGTCTGGGTAATTGCTATGACTTTACTGAGACTATTGTGTCATCTCCTCTCTGTTGCAGAATATTCACTGCCTGAAATACCAGAAAACTCTACACAAATGAAGAATGACCAAGAACCAAGCATGAAAGAAGTGCCAGGTCTGTGTGGATTTGGTGGGACAATGGATGTGTCTAAAGCCATGTGGTGATTAGTTCGTGGCCCATCCAGGACTTGAACCATGACTTCTGATAGTCCAATGTTCTTTCTAGTCTGGCATCCTGTTGTTAGCTGATTGTATGGCTTCTGAGCATCTAGTAATCATGGTCTTTCTTATTCTAAGTCCAAGAGAACTCTGTGATCTTAAAGCTTTCTTACAACTCTCTGGTTTCCCATCTTCAGTTTGGGGAACTTCATGACCTTGCCAGGACAAGCTCCACCTAAGGATCTGTTTTGGAGGCTTTGGTGGAGAGATCCAGATAGCATGAAACCAGATTCAGTACAATTCCCCAAATATTTGAGAACTGGTGACAAGCCAGGCCCTGCTCTCTGTACTTATGTTACATCCGTGTACAAAGTATGTGCAAATCCCCTGCATTCATGAAGCTCATACTTCAGTGGAGGAAAAGGGAGACTAACAAAAGGGATCAAAGCAGTGAAGCCAAAACATAGAGGGAAAGATGTAGGCTTGCATAGACAACATGCATTCCCCACTGTTACCCACACTACCACTTGTATATCACTAATCTTCCAGCAGTCAGCATTGACCACGAAGTCTAACACTTTGAAAGAATCAGGACCAACTTTGTGTTGATACAGCTTTGTCCATGCTGCGGATAGGAAAACCCCCTTCAAAACGAAAGTCTGAGCAATTGATGAGTCAGAGTCTCAGAATCCCAGAGGTTATAAATTGTTCCAATTTTAATGTAAATGTCAGCTTAACAGGGTGAGTCCTATATATTATCATCTTTCCATGGATAAAATTGTATCTTATGCATTTAAAGATTACTTAGTGATTTAGTGATGATATGAAATAAAGACACTATTTTTTAATAAGTAGACATAATGATTATTGTCGATAAGTGGTAGCTATTACATGCCAGAGGCTGTGCTATTCCTCCAACAAAACACCTGATTTAATCTTCAGAGCAACTCCACAACATAGAAACTATTATCCTAGCTTTATTTTTTTTTTTTTAAGATTTTATTTATTTATTTGACAGAGACACAGAGAGAGAGGGAACACAAGCAGGGGGAGTGGGAGAGGGAAAAGCTGGCTTCCCGCCGAGCAGGGAGCCTGATGCAGGGCTCGATCCCAGGACCCTGGGACTATGACCTGAGCTGAAGGCAGATGCCCAACGACTGTGCCCTCTCTGATTTGGATACTCACATAAGAGTGGGGGAATCCATCCTTCCTCTCTTTATTGCAGAAATTTCACAAGCTATAGAAGATGGTGCCATAGCCGCCGAGACAAAAGAAGAAGGTAAAGAAAACTGATTTGCCTTTTTTTTTTTTTTCTGCCCTGGGATGGAGCTGGGTGAAAACCAGTCTATGGAGTTTGGGTGGCAGAGGAGTCCACTGTCCCTCAATTCCACGTTTGTCTCTGGTGCATCAGTCTCTTCCCCAAGAGCTCCTAGAATCCTCACCAAGGACAGAGTCACGTATGTTCACTGTGATCATCTACAGGGACTGGGTATAAAGATAAATTCCAAAAACCTATGATTCTGGTGAACTTGGGCATCAAGTAGAGTCTACTGAGGGGAGAAGGACAATAAGCCAACAAAAATGTAATGTATCAGGTATTAAGTGCTGAAAAGAAAGATGAGGCTAAAGGGACAAATAGAGCTATTTTGTAGGATGTTCCTAAGCTTTGAGGAAGTGATCTTTGAGGGATGGAGCTTGTTATCAGTACACTGCTAGGAAGGGACAAAAGAACCATGTATGTAGACTGTCTGATTTAGGATCCACTGATTCCAGATCCAGGGTTTGGGGGTTTGTTTTGCTTTTGCTTTTTCCTAAATTCCAGACTTTCTTAAAATGTTTCCTGTTCTTCTTCTCCCTTTCCCTGTCCAACTTAGGCCGTGGAGATAACACAAGGGACTACAAGGGCTACGTGATGATAAAATTTGCTACAGAATTGGATGAATACCGTGGTTTTGAAAACCTTGCCTCTGACTGTCCAGAAATGCAAACATTGCTTGGTGCTTTTAATCCAGACCAGAGGGGCTTCCAGCCTCGCACTGTGGTTTTGCATGGAAAATCAGGAATTGGGAAATCCACTTTGGCCAGAAGGGTCCTGCTGTGCTGGGCACAGGGTGACCTCTTCAAGGGCATGTTCTCCTATGTCTTCTTCCTCTGTGCCAGAGACATGCAATGCATGAGGGAGGGCAGCTTTGCAGACTTAATTTCCAGAGAGTGGCCAGACTCCCAGGTTCCAATGATGGAGATCATGTCCCAACCGGAAAGGCTCTTGTTTGTTGTTGATGGTTTCGATGACCTGGACTTCGCCTTCCAAGACGATGACACAAATCTCTGTGAAGACTGGGCGGCTAAACAACCCATGTCTGTTCTGATGCATAGTCTGCTGAAGAAAGTCCTTCTCCCTGAGTCCTCCCTGATGATCACCATCAGAGACACGGGCATAGAGAAGCTCAAATCCATGCTCACGTCACCCCGTTACCTCTTTGTTGGGGGCATCTCTGTGGAGAAAAGGATCCAGTTGCTCCTTGGGCACAGGAAGAATGAGCATCAGAAGACACAAGTCTTGCATTTGGTGGTGGACAACCACCCGTTGTTGGACGAGTGCCAAGTCCCCATCTTGGGGTCGCTCATCTGCGATGCTCTGAATCTACAGGAGGCATCGGGAAAGAGCCTTCCCCCTACCTGCCAAACTCTCACGGGTTTATATGCCACTTTTGTGTTCCATCAGCTCACTCCACGAGACGCCTCCCGGCACTGTCTCAACCAGGAAGAGAGAGCCGTTTTGAAGAGTGTGTGCCTCATGGCTGTGCAAGGAGTGTGGAACAGGAAGTTTGTGTTTTATGGAGATGACCTCGGTGTTCACAGACTCAGAGAGTCTGAGCTCTCCGCTCTGTTTCACACGAACATCCTCCTCCAAGACCGTGGTGGCGACAGGTGCTACATGTTCCCTCACGTCAGCCTCCAGGAGTTCTTTGCTGCCCTGTACTATGTTCTGGAAGGACTGGAAATGGAGAGGGACCCCTACCCTGTGTTCATGGAGAACATGAGGAGTTTGGTGGAGCTCAAACAGATCAGCTCTGATGCCCACCTGTTCCAGATGAAGCGTTTCTTGTTTGGCCTCATGAACAAAGAAGTGACGGGGGCTCTGGAAGTCCTGCTTGGATGTCATGTTCCCCTGGCAGTGAAGCAGAAGCTTCTGAGCTGGATCTCTCTGCTGGGGCAACAGGCCAGCACCCCCGCCCCAGCAGACTCACTGGACGCCTTCCACTGTCTTTTCGAGACTCAAGATGAAGAGTTTGTTCGCTTGGCATTGAACAGCTTCCAGGAAGTGTGGCTTCCGATAAACCGCCGAATGGACTTGATGGTGTCCTCTTTCTGTCTGCAGCGTTGCCAGTATTTGCAGAAAATTCGTATAGATGTCCACGAGAGCTTCTCAAAGGATGAGTTCACTGAGGCACAGCCCCTCATTCCTCAAGGGTGAGTCCTTCATTTTATTCTTTTTTTTTATTTTGCTATTTTAGTCTTTTTTTCTTCCTATATTTTATTTTTTATTATGTTCAATTAGCCAACATATAGTACATCATTAGTTTTTGATGCAGTGTCTACAATTCATTAGTTGCATATAACCCCCAGCGTCCATCACCACACGTGCCCTCTTTTTTTTTTTTTTTAAGATTTTGTTTATTAGCACAGCAAGGGAAGGGGCAAAGGGAGAAGCAGACCCCCTGCTGAGCAGGGAGCCCAACACGGGGCTTCATCCCAGGACCCCGAGATCATGACCTGAGCCGAAGGCAGATGTTTGACTGATCCACCCAAGTGCCCCTTCCTTCTCATCTTTATAGAGGCATAATTGACAAATAAAAATTATACATATATAAGTTGTACAACTTGGTAAAATAATCACCATGATTAAGCTAATTAGCATATCCATCACCTCACTTAGTTACCATTCTGTGTATGTGTGTTGCTGTAAATTTCAAGTATATGATACAGTATTGTTATCAGCAGTCACACTGCTCTATGTTAGATATCCGTCTTGTGTCACTGAAACTCTGTACCCTTCCACCAACATTGCCCCATTCCCCCTCCCCCAGCCACGGGCAACCACCATCCTCTCTTTGCTTCCATGAGTTTGGCTATTTTAGATTCTTTTTTTTTTTTTAAGATTTTATTTATTTATTTGAGAGAGAGAGAGCACATGAGAGGGGGGAGGGTCAGAGGGAGAAGCAGACCCCCTGCTGAGCAAGGAGCCCGACATGGGACTCGATCCCAGGACTCCAGGATCATGACCCGAGCCGAAGGCAGTCGCCTAACCAACTGAGCCACCCAGGCGCCCTAGATTCTATATATGAGATCGTACACATCTTTCTGTTGCTGGTTTATTTCACTTACCATAACGTCCTCTAGGTTCATTCATGCTGTTGCAAATGGCAGGATTTCCTTCTTTTTTTAAAGCTGAATAATATCCCCTGGTGTGTATATATCCGTGTATGGGTCACGTTTTCTTTATTCGTCCATCAGCCATCAGCGAACATTTAGGTTGTTTCCATATCTTGGCTGTTGGGAATGATAGTGCGCAGATCTCTTCAGGATCCTGATTTCAATTCAATTCAATTCAATTCAATTTCAAAATTCGATGTTTATAAATGCAATCACTGGATCATACGGTAGCTCTATTTTTACTTTTTTGAGGAACTTCCATACTGTTTTCCACAGTGGCTGCACCATTTTACATCCAAGGGGGAGCTAGACTCTAAGGGCAAACCCAATTCAAGAGCTGGTGCCTCCGCATCACCTTAGTATGTACCCCGTTCAGGAGGCAGGGTGTGTGTGCAAGCACGCATTCAAAGCACAAAGCGACATCACTAAATCGACCTCAGGACCTCTGAAGTCCTCCCCGTCTTGCCATAACAGCCTGGTTCCTCTCCTCTGACACTGTTGTGGCAATGCTCATGTTAAACCCCATCCAGTGGAAGCCAATGTTGATTTCCTTCTCCAATGTAGGACGCCGATTAAGACCCTTGCTGATGAGTGCTGGAAAAGTCTCTGCTTCGTACTCAGCACCCACCCAAGCCTGCGACAGCTGGACCTGAGTGGCAGTATCCTGAATGAATGGGCCATGAAGACCCTCTGCATCAAACTGAGGCAGCCAACCTGTAAAATACAGAATCTAATGTAAGGCTACCCGGCCCCTGGTACATGCCCCTTGGCATGGCTCTGTCACCACTCTCTTCTCCCACCTACCAGAAAAGACCCATCTGAGAATGTAATCAGAGGGGATAACTGCTGTGGAAGATACAGGAGCCAAGCTCCCAAAAGCACACAATAGGGAGAAACTCAAGACCCTGTGAAGGGATTACTGAGGCAGGTTCATTCACACTGGGTATTGAAGGATGAATAGGAGTTTGTTAGGGCCAAAGGTGCGGGGAGCTCATTGCAGGCAAATGGGTGGAGCACGAGGCCATTGCAAGATCAAAGTACTTGACTCATGGGAGGTTTTAAGTCAGGTCTTAATGCTTTTACGTTCATCAATAAGGTAACAAATATTTGAACACCCAATAAGGCCCTGGGTCCGTGGTAGACCCCAGGGTACTCACCAAGCACCTGGAGTAGGAGATGGTGCTAGTTCTGCTGCAAAGGTTCTGTTCTGGACTCTTCCCTCCAAGACCAGGAGAAGCACATGCAACTTCTCCGTACAAACCTCTTCCCCTTCTTACCACTTGTACCCCTTCCCTAAGTAGTTTCCGTAAGCTGGACTGTGCCAGGGTCTTGACAGTGCCCTGTTCACCTCCGTCCTGCACCAAACCCCTCTGCCGGCTTTACCCTAGCGTTTCCCTGGGAACCCCTGCTCTTAGCTCTTGCCACGCAGTGATGAGCCTAAATCTGTGTCATCACTGTATTTGTAATACAGCAGTAACGCATCATAATGGTAACGGGATTCGGGCATTACAAGGGTTTTCGGTAAAACCTCTGATGCCTCTTCAACTTCCTATCGCCCTAATTACTCATCAACTTCCCACGCAATTATATGTATATATTGGCAAATGACTTTTTTTTTTAATCCAAGTGGTGTCACGATATACACACTCTTCGGACATTTGACCTTTCTCTTCAGCCTGAACTTGACCATATCTGTTTATAGTTCTGTTCTTTTTTTTTAAGATTTTATTTTTAAGCCAACTCTACACCCAGCATGGGGCTCCAACTCACGACCCCAAGATCAAAAGAGTCACGTGCTCCTCTGACTGAGCCAGCCAGGTGCCCCTCTAGCTCCGTTCTTAGTGGACCGACCATATTTCATTCTTCAGCGTAACTCTGGTTCAGCTCTTTGATGAGTGTCTCCCCATGAGATCAAGCTCCATCAGAACATGGAGTATCAGCATCACTTAATACTGTTTCCAGTGCCTGATGCATCATAGATGCTCAAGTATTTGTTGCTTTAAAATTAAATGTGGGCCACCTGGCTGGCTCAGTGGGTGGAGTGTGCAACTCTTGATTCTCAGGGCTGTGGGTTCGAGCCACACATTGGGTGTAGAGATCACTTACAAAATTTTAAAAATCTTTAAGATTACATAAATGCCAACAGTTGAGAGATAAGAGAGTTGGAATGGGAGAGGAGGGGAAAGGGGAAAATTGGGATACAGCTGTCTCCTGTGTCTCGTCGTATTTTCTGCTTTCTATTGGGTAGATTTAAAGGTGCGCAGGTTACCCTGGGCCTTCGTCATCTCTGGTTGACTCTCATTACCAACCGTAATATTAAATACCTGAACTTGGAAAGCACTCACCTGAAGGAGGCAGATATGATGATGGCGTGTGAAGCGCTAAGACACCCAAACTGCTTGCTGGAGTCTTTGAGGTACATTCTGGGTATGGCTTCTGCATTTTTGGCTTTGTTGTTGTTGTCTTTCCTTGTTAAATAATCATTTGCAGCAAGTTGCAAACCTATCAGAAAGGAAGAGGGCAATCTGGACTCGATCTCGTGACCCTGAGATCAGGACCTGAGCCAAAATCAAGAGTCAGATGCTTAACCGACTGAGCCACCCCGGCGCCCCTGAGATTGGCTTTTTTTCAATCAGCAAATGCCCCTCAGATCCATCATCCATGCTGTTCTGGGTATCAATCGCATGTTCATTTTTAGGGCTGAGTACTATTCAGTAGGACGGACACACTGCAGTAATGTAGCCATTCACCTGTCCAGGGACATGTGGTCATTTCCAGTTTGGGGCTGTTAACACGGTTTCGTAGATCCTGGGCATGTGTTTTGTCAATTAGATTAACTTGGTCTAAAGACACTGCTACTGGATGCCATGCTGAGACAGAGAAACATAAGCTCTGTTTTGAGCTTTAATCGACACAGAGCAACTGCGGAAGAGTATTTCGCTTTGCACCACGTGCGTTTTTGCTCTGTAACCTGCGAGCTGCCATTCCAAGCCAGGGTCATCGAGATGACATTCTGGAGAGGAAGACAAACAATAAACAAGTGCAAGTAGTCTCGAGAAAGAAGGAAATCCTGCCATTTGCAACAACATGTATGGACCTTGAGGACATTATGCAAACTGAGATAAGTCTGAGAAAGACAAATACCATATGATCTCACATATGGAATCTTAAAAAAGCTGAACTCATAAAAACACAGTAAAATGGTGTTTATCAGGGACTGGGGGTGGGGGAAAGTAGAAATAGGTTGTTGAAAGGTAAAACTTGCAACTAGTAGGTAAATAGGTCCTGGAGACCTAGCACACAGTATAATAATTATAGGCAACAATATTGTATTATTAACATAAACTTGCTAAGAGACTAGATCTTAATTATTCCCACCACAAAAAAGAAATAATTATGTGACCTGACAGAGGTCCTCACTAATATTACAATGGCAATCCTATTGCAGTATGTAAATGTTTCAAATCAACATGCTTATACCTTAGACTTACACAATATTACGTGTCAGATATACTTCAATTTTTTTAAAGTGCAAATATATGAAACATTGGCTGGTGATCATTGCCATGCATAAAATAATGCTGGATAGAGGGGTTTCGGGTGCAGTGGGGTGGGGCAGGCACAGTTAAGTAAGGTTGTGAGACTGGCGAACTCAGAGGTGACATTCAGGAGACCTGAATGAAAAATTGAACCACATAAAGATGTGGGTTTGGGATGAGGAGGGATGGTGCAAACACAAGGAATAGCAAATGCTCAGACCCTGAGCCTAGAGCAAACTGTGTCCAGAAATCAGCAACATGGCCAGAGTAGCTGGTGCACAGGGAAATGGGTTGCTTTGGGGCGAGAAGTGAGAATGCATTTCACGTTGTTTATCTCTGCAGGTTGGATCACTGTGGACTAACGCCCGCCTGTTGCCTGGTGATTTCCCAAATCCTTGTTACGTCCATCAGCCTAAAATCTCTCAGCCTGGTAGGAAATAAGATGTCAAACCAGGGCATAAAGCCGCTCTGCAATGCCTTGACTGCCTCACAGTGCACCCTGCAGAAGCTGATGTGAGTTGCACTTCTGTCCACCAGGGCTCCTTTCTCTTAGCTGACATGGCCCAAATGGTGGGGAAGGAGGGGAGGGGAATTAGTGGACGCCTAAGCCAAGGGTTAGAATGGGAGTTCTGACCCCATGGGAGTGCCCCAATATTGAGGTATAAAAGAAGACTCAGTAAATAACATCTGTGTCTTTGCTATCAAACTCTGAACGATATAAAAGTCTAGGGGAGAAGCCAAACGCGTAGAACCAGAGAGAAGAACGTTGACCGCCAGGGGCTGGCAGTTGGGGGGAGAAATGGGGAGAGGTTGGTTAAGGGTACAGGTGTACCATTAAAAGACAAATAAGTTCTGGGGATCTCACATACGGCATTCTGCTTAGAGTTAGCACTGCCATGTTATATACTGGAAAGTTGCACCAATGCCAAAATCCCGGAGAGTCTTAGCTTGTGGCTGGAGCCGCCATCTATGGTGTCCTTCCAGGCCCTGTGCTGAGTGTTCTAATCCCATTAATGCCACCCTTCACAACCTGCCACATAGGAATTATTTTCACCCCATCTGCTGATAAGGAAAACAGAATCCAGAAGAAAGAAAAATCTCTTGTCTAGGGCCACATAGGGAATAAAAGGCAAAACTAAAACATGAGCTCTGGTTTGATACCTAAGACTTGGAAATCTCCCCCTCGATGACCTACAATCTGGGCAAAGTTGTTTCCCCCCCCATCACTCCCAAAACATGCCATGTCAATAACATCCCTCTTTCCTGGGGAGTTTGAGTCTAAAGTCATAGCGGAAATTGAAAACAAAATGGCACAAATTACCCTTTAAATTCCGGGGGCGGGGGGGATCACATTAGAAGCCAACATTTCTCTCCCTCAGTCTGTAGGGGAAGGAAAAGACTTTCCCTCTATCCTCTTAGGTTCAGTGTCTGAGGCCTGCAAATTAAACTGATGATTGACAGGACAAAGGACACACATATTGTATTGGTACTACTTTTTTTTAACATGCATGGAGGTTTCACAGAAAAGATGTGAGTAACCCAAAGAAGTGGTTAGACTCAAGCTTATATATCATTTTAACAAAGTTACGCTAAATTGTGGAGAAGTGACTAGACAAAAGGTGTTTGGGGCTTCTAGGGGCTGATAAATTGTGGGTAGGTGACTAGGAAGTATATGAGAGGAATTAATGGTAGATAAATGTTATATGATGACTCATCCCCATGTCATGCCCATCTCTGGTGACAAGGGTCATTCTCTTGCTGGTACCAAAGAGGAGGGACACACGTACAAGGGAAACTCATGCCCTGTTTTTAGGCAGATGGGGGAGAGCACCGAGCCCTTCCTGTGTCTGCTTTTTCTCAGTTGCTTTCAGCTCAAGATCATCCTTATGCCCGAGTGGCATATTTCAGGCTTACATATTCTGACCCCCTTCTAATCCAACCCAGCCAGTATTTCTTCACCAAAATAAATCACTGTCAGTAATAGGGAGTAAATGTTTGCTATATGCACTGCTCTAAACATTTTAGATGTGTTAATTCATTTAGCTTTGCCACAATCCCATGAGAGAAGTAGTATGAAATTCTTATTTTCAAGTGCTATTGTGTATGAAGCTTTGAGAAACAGATGGAATAGGAAGAGCACTTTCTATATAGGAAGGTTCCTAATCTGGGCAACACCTCACACCACAGCGCATGTAAGGAGCAAGGACCCCTGGATGGGGAGCAGGTTGACCTTGTCCATGTGTCTCCCATTGTGGGTGATGGCAGATCTAGTCACCCACGCCATTTATATAAATATCAGGGTTGGGTTTGCAAGTTAAATGCAAGACACAGTGTGACCTCAGCATACGTCTGCAAGAGCATGGTCAGCCATGGGGTAGGATTTCTTTCCCTTATTTGCGAAGGAGGGAGGGAGGGAACCTTCAGAATAGACCTCACCCTTTCCTTCCTGGGGGCTCTCTCCTTGCAGACTGGGGAGCTGTGGCCTCACAGCTGCCGACTGCCAGGACCTGGCCTCAGCCCTCACCAGCAACCAGAGTCTGACGCACGTGTGCCTGTCGAGCAACAGCCTGGGGAGTGAAGGCGTGAATCAGCTGTGTCAAGCCATAAAAGTGCCCACCTGTGGGCTACAGAGGCTGACGTGAGTCCAGCTTGCTTCCTTGGGAGGACTGCATTGCTTTGTTACAAACCGCATGTGACGCTCGCGAGCTCAAAGCAGTGGGAGGACGGTTGTCATGATAAAGGGAACAGATAAGGGCTGCATCCTGTCCCCGCCAATTTCCTCCTTCCCTGGAAAATTCCATCTCGGCCCATTTTCTTACAGTGGGAAGTCGTCATTTATCCAAATACAGGCGATTCTCATTATTTCCTGCAGTTCTATAAAGTCGTCACAAACACCGAACCACTGCTCCCAGGGGAAACACAGGGTTAGGTTCCTTCGAGCCTCTGGTCACATTTTCATCAACCAACCAGTACCTAACCTCGCTTTGTGTGTTTCTGTTTAAAGACTCCTTATTTAATACATATTGTTGATTCACTCACATTGCGCCCAGGGCCGACAGCGCCATGACTCATGGCCGAACGAAGCTCATCTCTGAAGCACTTTCTCCACACAGCACAGCCTTCTTGGGCATGGGAACGCTGGACAGCACTTCAGCTCCACACATTAGCACCACATCTTAAACAACAAAATGACCCACAAAAAACACAAAAATGCGGAAAACGTGGCACTAACTGGATCATGAAAAGGATACTTGTTGACAGTGAATTTGAAACGAGTTCAGCCTCAGCGGGGAGCGTATGCGAATATTTCTCTGCACATGCACGTGTGTCCGTGAAGGACCCATGAGCACCACGAAATGGACTTGGGGGGGTGGGTAGCGAATAAATTTTAGCAAGCAGACAAATGTGCAAACACAGAATCCCTGCATCATGAGGACTGACTACAGTAAGCATGTGCAACTGGCGAACACTTTTAGTTGCCAGTGATGCAGAGATGACCGACGTGGTCCCTAAGTTCACAGAGCTTAGTTTCTGGTAGGGAGAGCTGGATAGTTGAGATTTTTGGATGCTGGTAATAGTGACACAGGGTTGGCAGCCACAGAGGTACTGTCCCCACCATTCTGGACAGTACCACGTGCACAGCGAGGGGAGGCCATGCACTCTAGCGTAGAGCAAGGGGTCTCCATAACTGCTTTGAAAACTGCTACCCCATTGCCAGGTTATTCTTCTAGCCTACATCTTTGGTCTGGTGGTGAGAACAAAAGATGGGTGTTACACCTGTCCCACACTGCCAGCTTGCCTTGCTGGGGTCACTTTGCTTTCTGCCACTTCACCCCATTGACCAATTAGTTCACCAATAACTCTCTAATTTAAAAAATCAACATATGTTAATGGTATACCTGTAGCCAGAAATTCTTTTAAAGAATATAACTTTAATGTACGTGTCTACCTTGTGGGTTCCAAGGTTCCTCAGTGAATAAGTGATGGGAAGATGCTGAGTATGGTGGACAGAAGAGTGACCTGCTCCCCAAGATGCCCATGTCCTAATCCCTGTAAATATGTGAACTCACATGGCAAAAGGGACTTTGCAGGTGTGAGCAAGTTAAGGATCTTGAGATGGGAAATTATCTTGGATTCTCTGAGTAGCCCTAATGTAATCAAAGGGGTTTTTATGAGGGAAAGGAGGAGAAGTGGGAGAGGAGATATGGTAACAGGATATAATTGCTGACTGAAGACCAGAAGCCAAAGACTATGAGCAGCCCTATAAAAGCTAGGAAAGGCAATAAAACCGATTCTCCCCTGGAGCCTCCAGAAGGAACACAGCCTTGCTGACACCTTGATTTTTGCCTCAGTCAAAATCTGCTGAACTCCGGAACTGTAAGATAATAAATGTATGTTTTAAGCCACTAAGTTTGTGGTAATTTGTTACAGTAGCCATTGGAAAGTGACACATTGAGTATGAAGGAAAATTAAAAAGAGCATCTTGAACGGCATCCAGTGCATGCATTCTGCTAGATATCATACCAAGCACTTCATGGTCATCCTGTTACCCAAGCTGAAACCTCCCTAAGTACCCCCTTACATAATACCCTCCCAAAGGAGGAGGAAACTGAGGCCAACAGAAATGGCTTACCCAAGGTGACACCAAGTCACGAGTATAACCTTCCTCTTTCCCGTGTGTGCGCCCCACAGACTAAATGAATGCAACCTGGATGTCGCCAGCTGTGGCTTTCTTGCGTTTGCACTTATGGGCAACAAACATCTGACGCATCTGAGCCTTAGCATGAACCCCGTGGAAGATGGTGGGATGAACCTTCTCTGTGAGGTCCTGATGGAACCATCTTGTCACCTCCAGGACCTGGAGTAAGTTTCAATGGTTGTCGGGGGTCAGTTCTACCATACTGGGGACTGGGGTTCCTAGAAAGTCCAGATATGTGAGCAGGAAGACTGGTACCAAAAATTAGTTCTTGGTAATTGGGTCTAGTTGGGTCTAGTTGGGTCAACTGATGCTCATGCTTTCATATGTTTACCACAGTGAGTGTGGGAAGGACACAAAAATGAGTCCAGACAGGAACCCCACGATTCGATTTTTGGAGCTTAGGTCACCCTCGATTTCTAAAACCTGTTCACTTTTCAGAAAACCTGTTTTTGCCCTAAGTTACTCTTTAGCTGTTCATTCTGTATGTAGGGTGGAGATGGAGGGGCTCTCTCTCAACACCTTCTTCCTCTGGGGCTCAAATTTCTTTACCTTTTATTGGAGTGTTTCTATTTAATAAGACTATTCCATCCTTAAACAGACTATAGAAAAGTTAAAAGATATCAATGAACAGAAATGAATCTCCAATCTGACAAAGCAGTTAACACTTTGGCAAATTCCTCCTGGATGCATAAGTATTACAAAGAAAGGATCCCAGCAGTTACCGCTGAAAGCATTCTTGCCACATGGCAGGCACAGGGCTTTAAATATTTCACATGTCTAGGCTCATGTAGTTCTCCTACCAATCATTTGCAGGGGAAACCAGAACTCCCTTAGGAGCCCAAACCTTGCCTTTTGGTCTCACATTCTGTCCCTTGAGGATCTGCAGACCGTAATCATAAACTAAGTATGGTATGGTATTCCACTGAATGATGCATCATAACTTTAAAAATCCCCTAAAACTGGACATTGAGCTTACGTCCAATGTTTTAGTCATGCGTACCTTCTAAATCTTTGTGTACTTGGTAGTATCTTTTTCTCAGGTACAAAAGTAGAGGGGCGCCCGGGTGGCTCAGTCGCTAAGCATCTGCCTTCGGCTGGGGTCGTGGTCCCAGGGTCCTGGGGTTGAGCCCCGCATCGGGCTCCCTGCTCCAAGGGAAGCCTGCTTCTCCCTCTCCCACTCCCCCTGCTTGTGTTCCCTCTCTCGCTATCTCTCTCTGTCAAATAAATAAAATCTTAAAAAAAAAAAAATCAGTGAACCAAAAAGTAGGACCATTTTAATATCTCTCCTTCTCCAATAATAAATAAAAGAAAGAAACTGGATAGAGATCATAGCCCACAGATCTGAGTGCCCCCCCCCAAGTATTAGTCCTGTGTTTGTTTTCATGAAATCGGTGTTTCGAGCTCTACTTTTGCATGGTGTAGAAACTAAAGCTTAATCACTTGGAGGTGCCACTTCTTTGGGGTTATGCTTAAATGCTGGGGGATAATCATCACTGATCCTTGCTGGCATCTGAGGCTTAGCCATTCCCACCTGGTCTGCAGGTGTGAGCCCTAACACCTGGTCTGCAGGTGTGAGCTCTTGCTCATTCTTTGTGTGAACGCCTCGTGAAGATGGACTCTCTCATCCCCAGTGGGATCATTCTATTCTTAGCTGAAGATAGGAGACAGTGGAGCTGTTCCCATCATCTCTACTCAGATGAGTCATGCAGTCGGTATTTCAGGGGCCTTCTCTGCCCCCACCCTCCCCATTCGTCCCAGAAACAGAAGCACAAGATGCCTCTCCTTTCGGACCCCAAACCCATCTAGCATTTCAGTACCTTCTGTTATCTGTCATCTTTTCTCACCCTCTCAGGGACTCTACCAACTTCTCCTCATTTTTTTTTTTTCCTGTCTCTTTTTCTCCATCCACCAGGGAGAATCTTCATCCCATCTGCAGGTGGGAAGCAAGCTCTGATGTGCTCATTTCTTTTTCTAGAGATCCCTCCAGCCACATCACATGCTTTCCCCACCTGCCACTATCATCCCTCCTTACCTGAGCCACTGGATGCTGCACAACCTAAGCCATTCCCAGGGATGGACAGAAAGGTTCCCAGTGAGGAAGGAGTCCAGGAAAGCCCCACTGATGTTTCTGGGCATCGTCCCCCTCTAGCCCTCTCCTCAAATGACATGGGCTCTCCTCTTGCAGACTGGTTAAGTGTCATCTCACTGCTGCCTGCTGTAAGAAACTGTCCCATGTGATCACAAGGAGCAAACACCTGAAGAGCCTGGATCTGGCGGTGAATGCCCTGGGTGATGAAGGCATCATAGCGCTGTGCGAGGGGCTGAAACACAGGAGGGCTTCTCTGAGGAGGCTCGGGTGAGTTCCTGGGGTCCCCAGTATGAGGGCTGGGTGAAGAGGAAGGGGGACCTGGGCGTGAAGTTGCTGAACAAAGACAGTGTTCCAACTCTCACAATTCCATTTGAACCTGCCTTGTTCTTCCTGGTGCTTAAGAAATGACCTCACCCCCTTCGAATCAACATGAAGCCATTTCATAGGAAAGCCCTGCATGTTCCACCATGAAACCACTTAATATCTGTACCCACGTTCCCTTCTTTCTGAAACAATAGAGGAAAAATCCCTACCGCTATCAGCTTAACCTCACTCATATCGGCAATCTATCAAGTGCCTTATGCTATCACTGAATTACCTTCCCTCACCTCTTTCCACAGCCTCCCTAGTAGAGATTTCCTGTTTTCACAGAGGCTTAGATATTATTTTAGAAGCAAAACCAATAATAACAATAAGCTTTATTCAACCCCACCTCACCATCTAACTATAGGCACTTAAAAATACTTGAGCACATCCCACAACTTTTTTACTCTATCACAAGACATTCCCAAATACACAGAATCTAGAATGATTGGGACATTAAAAACCTGCATGCTCACCACCCAGTTTAAACGATCATCAGTCTTTTGCTCTATCTGGTGAACCATCTCATAGCGAGTTATAGTTTGTTGTTCAGCCTCTGAATACCTCAACACGCATCTCCAACATGGGAGAACATGGCCACCATCCATTATTACATCCAACAAAGTTGTTTGGCCCTCAGCTGCTCCTAGGATAAAATCCTAAATCCTTAATGTGACCTAAAATGCCCAGCCTCCTTTCACACCGTGGCCTCTGACTCCCCTGTGGCTGTCTGGTTCTCTGTCCGAGTCTTTGACATGTCCCAGCCTTCCTTCCGCGAGGGTCAGGTGAGTGCAACTCCCAAGCCTATATCGCTACTTCCTGCCCTGTTCACCTGGCTTCCTTCTTGCCTCTTGGGTTCCGGGTGAAATGCAGGTTTTCAGCAAGTCTTTCTCCATGTACCTTGCTTTGTTCCCTAGTTGCAAGCATTCTCACCCTTTATCTTTCATTCTTTCCACGACTATAATTAAGTCACCCAGCGGCTCTTAACAGGAGAACCAGCATCGTCGCCTGGGAATCCATTAGAAACCAGAAACACCAGTGGTAGAGCCCACCCCTCTATCTTAAACATTGCCATGAAAGGCCAGTGGGTTGAAGGGTCGGTCACTGAACTTTGGAGGCATTTCTTGGCGTGTTGGCCCTGCAGGTTGGAGGCGTGTGGACTGACTTCTGGCTGCTGTGAGGCCCTCGCCTCGGCTCTCCTCTGCAGCCAGCGCCTGACCAGCCTGAATCTGATGCAGAACAATTTCAGCCCCGTAGGAATGATGAAGCTGTGTCCCGCCTTTGCACAACCCACATCTAACCTACAAATAATCGGGTGAGTCCCTGGTGATTGTCTTCCGAGATACAAACCTCCTTCTGCTACAAAGCATGCTGGTTGGTGGAGAAACGCTTTATCCCAGAAGCTGAGATGTGGCTCAACAACCAGATCCTTGATTCAGCCACTAAGTGCCCACTGTGTTCTGGGCACCGTACTGAGGATAGGGATAGAGACAGAGGTAAGGTGCCTGATATCATGGGGCTTACTTCTGCATGGGTTTAGGAAGAATGTAGAGACAACATACAAATCAGATGTTTATCCTTAAAAAGCTAAAAGTGGAATTTCTATATGATCCAACAATTCTGAGTACATACCCAAAAGAACTGAAACCAGGATCTGGAAGAATTACTTGAACATCCATGTTTACAACAGCATTATTCACAGTAGTCAAAAGGCAGGAGCAGCCCAGGCATCTGTGGTCAGGGGAATGGGTAAATTAAGTGTGATATATCCACACAGTGGAATATCATTCAGCATTAAAACAAAAGGAAGTTCTAACACCTGTTATAACATGGACGAAGTAAGTCAGGTGCAAGAAGACGAATACTGCATGATTCTACCTAAGTGAGGTCCCTAGAGCAGTCAAATCCATAGAGACTAAAGGTAGATGGTGGCACTGGAGGAGGGGGAGGGGATGGGGAGTCAGTGTTTAATAGGCACAGAGTTTTAGTTGGGGAAGATGAAAAGTTATGAGGATAGATGGTGAACACCGTTGGGGAAGATGAAAAGTTATGAGGATAGATGGTGAACACCATTGGGGAAGATGAAAAGTTATGAGGATAGATGTTAAGTACACTCCCCACTGAAAAACGGTTAAGATGGACAGACCGTTGAGGTTGGTTGTCCTATATTTATTTCAATAGCAAACTCCCTGATTGAAAAACTGCCTCTGAGTAGCACAGCTTACGATGGTTGGGTTTGTGCAGGGCTCAAGTGTCGACGTATGGATGTAACAGGGTAGTTGTAGTGTGGGATCTGAGGGGAAGGATGGCACGGAAGGCATGGCTCTGTGGATTCAGAGACTTCAGTGTGGACAAGGGGAACTGTCACAGTGATCTCTTCAGCAGAGAAGCTGGAAAGGCAGAATATTGGGTTGAAAGAGAGCATATTTGCATCAATGACTCATGAAGCAGTATAGCTTTGGACAAGCTCAGCCTGTGATTATGGGACTTGGCAGTTGAAGAGTCAGACCTGGATTTTACTACTGGACCTTCCAGGAGCCTATTTCCCTATCTGTAAAATAGAAACGATGCTGTGTATCTATTTGAATACCTGTTTCTCCTGCCCTAGGATATAAGCTTCCTGAGGGTAGGGGCTTTGCCTTATTCATCACTGTGCCTCTGAACCCTATAACAGGACCTGGCACAAAGAAGGTTCTCAGGAAGGAGTTTACGGATGGATGAGTAATCATGCCTGCCTCTGAGGACCGTGGTGAGGGGCAGATGCCCATAAAAGCTCAGTGTAGCACCTAATACATGCAAGTGTGCCTTCACATGTAGGGATTTACTCTTGCTCTGTGGAGCACCTCAAGAGTACAAGAAGAGGTTTCAGATCCTTGATGGGGTTTCCAGGAATTTTAAGGAAAGGAGAAGCAGAAGCAAATTCCCAGAGTAATGTGTCCCCCTTCTGCCTCTCCAGGTTGTGGAAATGGCAATATCCCACTCAAATACGGAAGCTTCTGAACGAGGTCCAACGACTCAAGCCACAGATCATAATTGGTGACAGTTGGTATTCTTTTGATGAAGATGACCGGTATTGGTGGAAAAACTGAAAACATGAAACTCTCCCACCCCACCCCCGACCACACACACACACACACACACACTCTGATGGAGGAACATTTAAAAGCGGTCTTCTGGGGCAAGCTGTACCCAGGAGTTCCCTCTCAGAGATGGAATATGAGTTCTGGTTCTCACAAAGCCCTCACTGGTGGCAATTCTCATGTGTCCAATATAACTTGGTTATTGCATTTGCCTCTGACATAGGCTGTGACCTTCCAATCCTAGGATCTCTGTATCTATGAAATGTCCGTCCTACCTCGGAGCATATAGAGAAAATCAAATAAAACAAGCACTGAGCATTTGGGGAGTAAGTACCATGTGACCTTCTTGAGCAGTGGGGATATGATCCAAGAGAAGAGTGGGAGGACTTAGGTCCTAAAAGTGGCCCCCAGATGTTGATGATACAACTCTGCTGGTGTTACAAAAAAAAATTAAAGCACAATCTAAAAGTCAGAGGAGGATGGTGTGACTATCACTATCTAAATATAAACAAACCAAATGTATTGCTTAGTGTAGTGAAGAACTGGTCTACCACTGTCTCCGAGAAGAGCAGACTGCTGATCTTATGTAGGTAGGGATTTGGGGAAGCATGGAGTTCAGGGATTGGTGAGTCTTTGGAGTGAGCTGTGACATGTAGTTCTTCAGGTAAGACTGCTTAGCGTTCACAAGTGTGTTCATCAGAGTGAATCCCTTCCTGATCAGCTGAATCTCAGAAGCTAAGGGGAGTCCATCGTTGCCTTGTCAAAGCATGTTCCCTGGGGCAAGTCATCTTGGATCCATTTAACGGTCTGGTTGGGTGGCTACTTGTTACCATGGCTACAGATCAACCAGTCTCTTCCCAGGAAAGTGGGAAATTCTTGTGTTCTCACCAATGTGTCCTATTTATTGGTCCTTCCGTTTATTTCTCTAGTCCATGATGATGGTCGCTAACACAGGCTCTACTTGAAACACAATCTACAAATTAACTCATTCGGTCTTCAAATTCCAAGTCTCATTTTTTTTCAAACCTGGAAATGTTTTAGGCTTGTTCCCTCTCAGATGGTGATTAGATGGTGATCAGCCTGCTTCCTCTCAGCCCTGTAATATGGCTGAGGAAAAATTTATGCAGAGCATAGGAGAAATGTCAGCCCTGTAGTTTCCTTGGGCTTATGTTGCTAGTATTATCTTCAGTCTGTGGTGTCTCTGCAGGAATACTTTTTAAATGCATGTTCTGGGAGTATCTCAGACTACGTAATGCTTGTGCCTTGGACCAGTGGGGCATGGTTTGTGTGATGTGAATGGGGGAGAGGGGTCACAGTTACACCTCCTAAATTAGAGATGTCCTAGTCTTCGGAATACCGGCTCTTCCACCTGGGACACATGACCATCTGACCCGCATACCCCGTGAGGCAGTACCACTAATGCTTGTGTTAAACGCTAATAAGGCGGGCGCCTGGGTGGCTCAGTTGGTTAAGCGACTGCCTTCGGCTCAGATCATGATCCTGGAGTCCCGGGATCGAGTCCCGCATCGGGCTACCTGCTCAGCAGGGAGTCTGCTTCTCCCTCTCCCACTCCCCCCTGTTGTGCTCTCTCTCTCTCACTCTCTCTCTCAAATAAATAAAATCTTTAAAAAAAAAAAAAAGCTAATAAGGCATTACTATTTTAGTCTTTAAAGGAATATCACCTGACCTCGAGCTAAAAGTACCTAACACCTGCCGTCTGTGTTTAGTGGAGTCTCTTGAGCACTGCCTGTCCCTCTCTCCCCCTGACGGTACATATGTCCTGCTTTGGAAAACTGCCCGAAAAGGAAGATCAAAGAGAGAAGGCAATGAGTTTTTAATTCAGACCCGTGTTGGCATCCTGGCTCTCCTAAATGACTGATGACACAAGACAGATGCCAACCTCCATCAGCTTTTGTTTCCTTCTCTGTAAAATAAGGAAAACGGCACCTACTTCTTATGGGCAGTTTGAGAAGATGAATTCCTGGAAAGCTCTCAAAGCTAGAACATTCATCCCACAAATATGTTATTAAATACCTACTTGTGATATCTACGGCCATTCACAATATTGGTACAAACTTAGCAGCTTGAAACACATTACCTCACGGTTTCTGTGGGTCAGGAGTCTGGGTGTGGCTTACCTGGGTCCTCTGCCTCGGGGTCTCACAAAGCCACAATGAATGTGTCCAATGGGGCCATGGTCTCATCAGAGATTCAACCGGGGAAGGAACCTCTTCCAAACTCAAGTGGTTCCTGGAGGCGTTCATTTCTTTGCAGGCTGCTGGATGGAGGGCCTCAGTTTCTTGCAAGTTGTCAGAGGGCATTCCCAGCTACTTGCCATGCTGCCCCTTTGCATGGCAGGTTGCTTCTTCAAAGCTAGCAAGAGAGTCTCCCTGCAAAACAGACTGAAAATTTCATGTTACCACACAAGTGAGGTCCCACCTACTTTGCCATATTCTGTTTGGCTGTAAGTCACAAGTCCTGCTCACACTCAAGGGGAAGAGGCCCCAGAAGGGCATGAAGGGATGAAGAGATCATTGGGCCCCCTTAGAGTCTGTCCGATGCTCTGCTCTATGCTCTAGGGGGAAGCCACTCTCAACTCACTTCTGCGTGTTGGAAAGGGCAGCTAATGTCTTGTCCCCAACCACCACCACCCCCCCAGCCATCTCCAAGGGTAGAGAAGAAGTTACCTAGTTGGTAAGGACAGAAGGAAAACACCAGGCCTGTGTGGCTTAGACCCTCTGGGCACTCCTTCCAAGTAGCCTGTCCTTAGGACATGTGCACTCTTTCCCCCTACAACTCTGATTAAGGCAAAGTGTTGGGAATCTGCAAATACAGGGGCGCTTGGGTGGCTCAGTCGGTGAAGTCTGCCTTCGGCTCAGGTCTTGATCTCAGGGTCCTGGGATCGAGTCCCACATAGGGCTCCCTGCTCAGCAGAGAATTTGCTTCTCCCTCTCCCTCTGCCCCTCACCCTGCTTGTGTGCGCTCTCTCTCTCTCTCAAATCTTTAAAAAAAATCTGCAAATATAGGCCATTGGACCAATGGAGCTTTGAGTAATAGAGGCGACATCTTGATCTATATCTAACTCCTGATCTCTCATTTGATTCCGAGTTCCAAAAGGAGGCGACGAGGTGCTGATTAGTCTTAGAAATGCCCAGCGCCTATGGGCTGGCTGCTGGGCCAGGGCTGACAATTCAGCAGTACGCAAGACCGACAAGGTCCCCGCTCTCTGGGAGCTTATTAAATTCTAGCAACTGGGGGTGGGGGAGGGGGGCGACAAGTACAAGCTGCAAATGTTCAATCAGTACATCCTATGAAGAGTCATGTTAGCAAGAGCATGCCAGCCATTTTTTACTTTAGAGCCTGAGAAGGCTGCTTTTCTTCCGCATCGTCTGTCATTTTTTAAGTTGGTTTTGGGATATGATTTACATGCAGTAGAAATTGCCCTCTGTTTAGTGTACAGTTCTGAGTTTTGACAAGCAGTTGGATAGCCATCACCAAAATATACAGAACAGTTCATCTTCCAAAAAAAAAAAATCCCTCATGCCCACTTGTGCCCCACGCTTATTCCCCACAACCTCCCAGCATTGCTGAATTAACTAAACTGGAATCAGCCACCCACAGAGCCCTTACTGAGTGCAGCCTAAAGCCTCAGAAGGAAGGGAAAAACGAAGCGGGGGGAATCGGAGGGAGAGACGAACCAGGAGAGACGATGGACTCTGAGAAACAAACTGGGGGTTCTAGAGGGGAGGGGGGTGGGGGGATGGGTTGGCCTGGTGATGGGTATTAAAGAGGGCACGTTCTGCATGGAGCACTGGGTGTTATGCACAAACAGTGAATCATGGAACACTACATCAAAAACTAATGATGTAATGTATGCTGATTAACATAACATAATAAAATTAAATTAAAAAAATAAAGCATCAGAACGGATATGGCTTCGGGTCGGGATGCCCCGCCTGCCTTTCTATGGCTCTGCAATGCCCTTGAACCTCCCCCCCATCCTCACTAGATGGCAGTAGAACACCATCCTTATCTTTCGACAGCTGGACCTGCAGGAAGGATCCGCTCACACCTCCCTGCACCGGCGTTCTCATCCTCTGCCCTGTTAGCATTGTTGTGGGGGAGGGGGCTGTCCTGCGCGTTCGAGGATATTGAGCAGCATCCCTGGCTTCTACCCACTAAGACATCAGGAGCACTGGCCTGCCCCCAGTCGTGACAACTAAAAATGACTCCAGACACCACCAGATGTCACTTCGGGGGCACAATCGCCCTCACCTGAGGACCATCACTCTACATTCAGCAGAAAACCTCCCTCAGTCGCACCCTCAGTGGGTTCCCCTGAACCCCAGTGGGTCGGGCTGATCCACAGGCAATCCCATGTCAGCATGCAGTGCTGAGGATATCGGATACCTCCACGGCTGGCTTCTTCTATAGGAGAGGGACCGCCGTGTAACCGACATTCAAGAGGGTAACGGCATTATCCACAGTCGCCAAAACTGTGGAAGCAGTCAAGGTGCCCTTCGGGAGGTAAATGCATGAATGAAATGTGGTCCGTCCAGAAAACGGAATATTCTCAGCACGAACAAGAAATGAGCTATCAAGCCAAGACATGGAGGGAACTTGAGGGCACCCTACCAAGTGAAAGGAGCCCAGTCTGAAAAGGCTGCACACCATCCGATTCCAACCATATGGCATTCTGGAAAAGGCAAGACTATGGAGACAGTGAAATGATGAGTGGTTGCCAGGGGGTGGGGGAGGCGGACAGGAGGAACAGGTGGTCTTAGGGCGGTGAAACTACTCTGTGTGATGCTAGAACAAGAGATGCATTATACACGCGTCCAAACCAGTAGAATATACAACACCAAGAATGAGCCCTAATGTAACCTACAGGCTTTGGATGATAACAATGCGCCTGCGTAGGTTCATCGGTGGTAACAAATGCATCACTCCGGCTGGGGATGCTGCTAGTGGGGGAGGCTGTGCGTGGGTGGGTCAGGCGGTTACTGGGA